TGGTTCTCAATGTGTGGGTCCCCAGGTGTTTTGGCCTACAACTCCCAAAAATCCCAGCCAGTTTACCAGCTGTTAGGTTTTCTGGGAGTTGAGGGCCAACACATCTGGGTACTCACATGCTGAGAACTACTGATCTAATGCCAGCTACACAAAGGAAGTGCTGGCCAACGGACAAAAGGTGTTTCAGGCACAGTTACATCCAATGGAAGATTCACAGAGGGGGTGCAGATAGGTGCTATGGATCAGGCAATGTTCCCAGGGCTAGCTGAGATCATATCATGCCAGATAGATAAAGGAAATGGATTATGGTGATTTTCACTGGGTGAGGCTGAGGCAAGAGCAAGGTGAGTTCCAAGACATTTCATAGAAAGGTTACTTTTTAGGGCGATTAGAAATGACCATGTGGCTGGCCATATTTTCCAATGGAGCCACATCTTACAATTTATTTATTACGACATTTATATACCGCCCTTCTCACCCCAAAGCGGACTCAGAGCAGCTTACAAATAAAAAGTAAATATAATATATTATATTATTACCATAGCACAATATTAATATTATATATTGCATTGTACTATGACATTATACTGTAATATTATTAGTAATATTACATTTAATATAAAATATATTATTATAATATATTATTATTAGTATTATATTGTAGTACATTATAATATTATATATATGATATGATATTATAAGCACAGTATAGGAGACAAGATGGAACTGCCTTCCTGGCCCCTCTCTTCATTCTGATCACAGAGCAGCAGTTGGTGCTGGTTGGGGCTCCCAACTGATGACACTGGAGGCAAGATGGAACTGACTTCATGGCTCCTCTTTTCATACTTCATATTGTTCATATTGTTCATATTCTCTTCATACTTCATATTGTTGGGGGGGGGTCTGCTTTCTCAATAACAAGGGAACCCCTGTCTAAAAAAATTAGCTACAGCTCAAATAATGTTTTGTTTTCTTTTAGTCACGATCTCTTGCAGAACTCCAGGTTCCAAGGAACTTGCATTGAGAAACTCTGGTTGAGAAATCCTGGGCTAATGTAATAAGTGTGTTGATGCACTTTGCTTCTTTAGTTTGTTTGACTTTTTCTTCATTGCTATGTCTGCTAAGTGAGAATTTTCTTAACTTGCTTGTTTACTTAGTCTAGCCAGCATTAATCCATAAATAATTCACAATGCCTTTCTTACAGACAGTATCTTCACATGTAACCTAAGCTACTCTACTTTACTGCATAATTCAGAGATAGATTCGTTACTTTCCTTTTCCACTGACTTAAAAAAATCTACTGGTTGCGAAAAAAAGTGTAGTTGCATTTTATAAAATTAATGTTTGCAATATGCTTGCAACATTTCATAAACAGGTTCAGTTTTTTCAGCCAAGAATTTAGCAACCGACAGCTCACAGTCACAAAGTTGTGCAAGTAAAATTAAATACATATAAAATCGTGCCTACAGAATGTGGGTCAAACTACGGTTTAGTCTTGTATGGCTGGATTTTGTTTTTACGAAAAACTCATACTTGGTTATCAGGTTGGCATGTTTCCTAGTTGGCTGGATCTTAATTGGATTCTAGGTAGGCCAACTGGGAGTCCCTAATATTGTTATTGGGTCTGCATTCTTAGTTTTCTCTCTCTCTTTAAGTGTCTAGACCAGGTATGGGCAAACTTTGGTCCTCCATGTTTTGGACTCCAACTCCCATAATTCCTAACAGCCTATCGGCTGTTAGGAATTGTGGGAATTGAAGTCCAAAATACCTGGAGGGCCAAAGTTTGCCCATACCTGGTCTAGACCTTATACAAGCCAAAATATGGGGCAAACCATCAAGAATTACCTTTTTTTTTGTAAGAAGGGAGCCTGTTATTTTCTTTTGTTGTGTTTAGCCAATGGATTAAATTTAATTGAGATTTAAATTATAGATATACTTTTTTCCGGTTGTTTGGGAAAAGACTAGTCTTGCAAAAAAAATGTAAAGTCTAGTTTTCCGTAGATGCCTACAAACAGTGCACAGAAAGCAATGGAATAGCAAGAATAAACAAAGAGTAATTTTGCAGAACGAAGTACCTGGGCATAAATAAATGTTAACAAGATAGTAGCAGTAGTAGCATTTAAAAGTGCTGTGGACCTTATTGTTTGTTGTACCAACTTTTACTAATCTTCACCAGGTTTCCAGAAAAATGCAAAATATTTTTTATCTTTCGCCGGCCTCTTGGGAACAAAACTGACTGCTACCAAGAGGAAAAACCATGAGCGTTGGTGACAAGAATTATTGGTTAGGTTAGATACAGGTTTTCCCCTGACATTAAGTCCAGTCGTGTCCGACTCTGGGGTTTGGTGCTCATTTCCATTTCTAAGCCGAAGAGCCGGTGTTGTCCGTAGACACCTCCAAGGTCAAGTGGCCAGCATGGAGAGCCGTTATCTTCCCGCTGGAGCAGTACCTATTAATCTACTCACATTTGCTCGTTTTCAAACTGCTAGGTTGGCAAAAGCTGGGGCTAACAGTGGGAGCTCATGCTGCTCCCTGGATTTGAACTTGCAGTCTTTTGGTCAGTAAGTTCAGCAGCTCAGTGCTTTAACCCGCTGCGTCACCGGGGGGATTGAATTACTGGTTAGACACTAAATATTAAACTTAGATTTCTGGAAAGTAGTTCTGAACAAAAATTGTAAAACTCTACGAAAGGACTAACTTACTTGTCTTGTTTATGTGGTATATCCATTTGGTCTATTTAGAACAATGTTCTGCTTTTTTCATGTCGGGAAGAGAGCGAGTTGAAGCAGGAGCACGACTTTTCCATAGTTTCATACTGCTGCATAAGGCAGTCCCATAATTCTCCCCAATAGGGCTGCTTTACCTGGTTTCTCCATTTGTTTCCTACAAACCCCTTGTATAGTAGACTTGGCCGAGAACTACTGACTCATGCAAAGCTAAGCAAGCTTTGCCACTAAGCAAGGATTTGGATTTGAGTCTTCCCGTTCCAACAGTTATACTCTACAAGTTCTCTCAGATTAGTACTTTTTTACATAAATGGTGCTGAAGCATACTGATAAAAAATAATGTAACTATGTGCCTAATCTGTATTTTCTGGAAATTTGTATAATGTGAAAAATAGGCAATTCTGGTTTGGCAACCCTGTGCAAGAGGAGCTAGCTTGGAAGTGTGTAAGGAAAGGGAATTTTCATCCCACAATTGCTATTTGCAATGGAAGAAGCGAACATTAATGGTGCAGTCCTTTGCATATCTATTCAGGCATAAATCTGAAGGATTAGATCTGAATGTTGGTTTATACTATGAAAAATCTGTCCTACTTTACCACAGCAAATAACACTTCTGAATGAAGTGGGAAATGGTGGCACGTCATTTTTACCACCAGAATCTGTGGAGACATTACAAAGTGCCAAAAAATGTCAACAAAACAGAACACAAAAATGTGAAGTACTTGAAATCTACTAACCTGTTTTGGAAAAAATATGTTTATATGCAACAATGCAAATGAAGTTTAAATGTTACTGATAAGAGTCTTCCAAAAGAAGTAACTCAAGATTGATCAGGAAGCCAAGTGCCACAAAAACAGCCAAGTATTCCTGGATTGTAGCAATTGTCAAGGTTTGAACCCTAATTCCCAACAGGATCTATTTGGAGTGGGATGAAGGTCAGTCAAAAGAATTTCAGGTTTCATCTTGTGGCTCAAAGGGACCAGCAATGATCAAATTGAATAAGAAATCACTAAGTGTCTTTCAAATAATGTTCCAAGTATTAGTAAACTTAAAAGAGGATACACATTTGAACTTTCAAGATGACCAAAAATGGTTTAAGGATGAAGAGAAAGACTTTTGGTGTCTCTATATGGAATTGTTCTTGCTCCATAAATGTAGAAAGAGAAAATAAAAAGGCAGGACAAACTTTGAGCTAAAAAGTTCTTTATTTTAAAACATTACATATTAATAAACAGGTTTGTGATCAGAAACCTTAATAAATAGCCTTTGCTAATTTACATGGCAAATACAACATGCCTATAACTATTGTTTCAAAGCAAAGCTATTGAGCATTGAACAAATCTATGAATACATAGATTTGGGAGCTAATAAAATAGTCCTCTTTTTAATTGGCCTGAAGGAACTATATTGCAACATAATATCATTTAAGCAATCAAGTCTATAATATTTGAATTTTGGCTCCCACCCATCTTTTTTATTGTTTGTGTCCATACTTTGATTCTAATCATATTATCCATCACAATCTATCCTACCAAAAAATCTGTTTCACCACTAGTTATAGGAACTATACAAGATTTCTCTCCCCATGCGTTGCTGGGGGGGGGGGGGGGGGGGGGGGGGTAACAATTTGCTAACACCTTTAGCTTACCTTGCCTTCATAAACAGTGTTAAAAATGTGCATCTAAAGTGCTTTCATTTAGTGTAGATATACAGTAGATGTGTTACAAATGTTTAGCGCCACTCAAGTATAAATAGGACTAGCTGTGGCTTCCTGCTAGTAACATAGTCAAAATGTGTTTGCTGTTGACAATATGTGTAAGAAATACCATTAAATATAATGGGATATACTTTTAAATAAATATGCCTGGAATTGGGGTGCCGATAAGAGTATGTTGGTCTCATTTTCCTAATTAATGCTATTGAAAACTTCCAGTAATAAATTATTTAAAATGATTTGACCATACATGCATTCTCTAAGTGTGTGTAGAATTCAGCACCAGAATCAATAACTTTATTTCCAATAGATTAAAATGAAGTCATGTTGTAAATGAAGGCAAGTTGTAAAAAAGCAATAAACAATGTATGTAATATAACAATCCAAAGTGCTCTGAAGTCTTTAAGGTTATCTTCAAATCAGAGTCCATCATACAATATATACAGTTCCAGGACAGTTTATTGAGACTTTGTTTTTAAGGATTTTTAAAAAACTCTCTTAAACTAAAATGTGAAGAGAAAGCTCACCTCTTCCCTTTTGGAGCTAGAATCAACAACATATTTACATTCAGAATAAATAAATATTATTACTAAATAATAATAAATAATTACTAAATAAGGGAGCTGCGGTGGCGTAATAGGTTAAACCCTTCTGCCGGCTGAATTGCTGACCTAAAGACCTGAAAGTCAGTGGTTCAAATCTGCGAGACGAGGTAAGCTCTATCTGTCAGCCCCAGCTTCCCATGTGGGGACATTAGAAAAGCCTCCCACAGGATGATAAAACATCCGGGTGCCCCCTGGACAACGTTTTTGTAGACGGCCAATTATCTCACACCAGAAGCGACTTGCAGTATCTTCTCAATTCACTTCTGAAATGGTGAAAAATGTACTAAACTACAATCATGTTAATAACTATGAATGGCTCCCACATACTCTCTCTCTCACACACACACACCACAAATGCTGGAAGATTTTGTATAGGCAGCAACCAAAAAGCCATTTTCAGCGTAATTTTCTATATAGTTATTATGAAGTAAGACTTAGTTATATTCAGTGAGGCGTAATCCCTTGTAAGTGTATGCAGCCTGTGCCTTCAGTGTATCAGAAGCAGCTTTATAGGACAGCACACAATCCACTGAAATGGAGGAAGTTATACAAGAAATATTTCTTAGTCCGACTAAGAGTATTTCTTCCCCCAAAGTATTTCTCAGTTGATTGTGCATACAATCCACAAAATTATTTCAGTGTACACAGTTTAGGAGATGCAGCTTAAACATTACACAAAATATTCTGTTATATTTAGGATATAACAAAATGATTTTTGGACTTGAAAATTATTACTTTATCAAATGCAAAAAGGTCTCAGTAAGCAGGAATTAGGGATGCAATCCTGCATATATAATTCCCGTTTCCTAATTCCTTCTTGTTCAGTAAGGAAAATCCTACAATTTGACAGAACTAAATGTCATTTGTATACCATTATACAGCATAAGTATACTATGAAATACTTTACGGTACGCTTCATGAATACATGCTGTCAACTTAAAACATTTCAATAAGCATAGGCTCGAACTGTGGTACGTGGCTAGGTTCCTGATGGTCAGTGTGCATGAACCATGTAACAACCTAATACAGATATGTTAAGGTTTGAGGAAGACCAAAGTCCAAGAGATAACTGCACATTTATTCTCCAGGCATGGCACACCTTAGATGAAAAGAGGAACTGCAGTTTAAACACTGCAAATTTAAGACTCAAAACAGAAATAGTGAAATTATAAAATATCTGATAACAGAAAAAGACACTTGTGCTAGAATTAGTATAACTCCTGCAAGCTCTTGAGCTAAAAAACAGAAGGAATATTATTTGTTCAACGAAGTAGCAAAAATAAATATATGTATCTATCTATCTACCACCTAAAAGGCTAAATGCTGCAAATATAAATAATGTGAAAGGCCACAAAATTATGTTATAACATTCTGAAATCTGGGCATGAAGTCGTTTAATCCTTCTAGTAAGTATATTTCAAAACCAGGGGACCTTAAACCACAAATCAGGAAATATAATCCGTTTCAAAAAGTGCCATGAGCAGAGCGCTGGTGTCCTGGAGGAAAGTAACAGCACCACATGACTCAATACACACAAATATGTCAAATGAATATGGCCAGCTGGTAGCACCAATGGTCATTTTATCTGACAGCCCTACAGTATGATCAAGGATTTTGCCTATGATTTCTTTTTTCAAATTAGAAGTGCTATTGAGATTCTTCCTTTTCTGATTATAGTCTATGTTTTAATTTTTATGTACCATCTATGGAATATATAAGCAAATCTACATGTATGTCATTATACCAGAGCATAAGTGTGTTCTATTTTCCCTATGGAGTTGATCATTAATAAGGTCAATTGGACAGGCAAAATAGACTTCGAATGCTCAGTGTTATTTGGAAAATTGAGTAACTTCCTCCCCCCTCCCTCAATTACCCATCCCCAACATAGACAGCAAATTCCTAATTCAATAAAGTATAGCTGTGTATAGGACTGAATGTGCATAAGTACCAATATGCTTAGTTAGGCACTTCTTTTGGTAGAGAACGATAACGCACATAACAAGCTATAGTCTTCTGAAACTGGCAGAGTGAGAGAACTCTCATAGCCAAATTGTGCCTAATGACATCAAGGCAAAGACTAAAGTCAAAGATTAAAAAAATTCAAAGGATTCTTTCTCTGAAAACAGGACCAGAACAACTTGAAGCTTGACCAATGGTTATTTAATCAGTTTTCTCCTGTTCGTTTGTTATTTTAGCAAGGTAAGCCTCAGAATAGTTCCTTCAGAAATTTACCAAATTTTTCCACACTTGTATGTAAGCCTCCTTGAGTCCCCTTTGGAGTAGAGAAAGGTGGGGTATAAATAGGGAAAATAAATAAAATTTCCTATGAAACTAATAATGAAACCTTATCTATAATGATCAAAGGCAGCTACACACAAACTTGGGTGCCAAGACAAGTGCCACTTGTTTTAGGAAGTCCAGGATATGCAGATAGCATTTAGAGCGCCTGGCCTAACTTCTGCTGCATTTTAAAGCAGACAAAACAGTTTCTAAACGGTGAAAGAGATAGACTCCTAGAGTTGGAAGAGACCTCATGGGCCATCCAGTCCAACTTCCTGCCAAAACGCAGGAAAATCACATTCAAAGCACCCCTGACATGGCCGTCCAGTCTCTGCTTAAAAGCCTCCCAAGAAGGAGCCTCCACCACACTCCGGGGCAGAGAGTTCCACTGCTGAACAGCTCTCACAATTAAGAAGTTCTTCCTCATGTTCAGGTGGAATCTCATTTCCTATAGTTTGAAAAAGATTCTACCTTTTTCTAAACTTGTCTATTTAATGTGGATAGATGGATGTGTGGATATGGAGAGCCAACTGCATTAATTTACTCTACCACATGCCCAAGATAAACTAGACAACATATATCTCAGCTATATGTTCTTAAAGGAGGATGGGCAGATTGGAATCTACAACTAGATCTCTGATTAATTTGCAGCATAGATTTATGATTTAAAGTTATTTCACAATACCAAAAAGGAATTACTCTAATTTCCCCATCTCCAATTTGCAATTATATTGCTATAATGGAGAAAAATGGGGGCAGTGAGGATTTTTCAGTTCTCTTCCATTCTGATAACTTGTCAGTTCAGAGACATTATTTGGCTCAGAGTATACTTTTATTCTGCATGTATGCTTTGCCCTTGAGTCCAGCTGCTGGGTATAAAGATCCTAGAAAAAGCAAATTTGAAGTCTACCTGCTCATGCTTCTTAATTTTAATCCATAATGTGAAGCCTTCCTTATTCTATGTAAATCCAGATTAGAAACTGAATTCCTACTTAGAATTTTCAGAAGATTTAAGGAGGAATTACAGAATCTATGTGCCTATTTGCATATATTTAGAACACTGGTAATTTACATACAGTTACCATTCACTCAAAATACAAATAACACTATGTAACACAATTTTTGTTCCTGAGAAATGAATGTCATTTCTTAATTGGTTCTATCATTTAAAATGTGGAAAAAGTTTATTAAACTGCAAAAACTTTGTTTTTGTGGAGAACCCTGCAGCACATTTTGCTATAGTTCTTCAATGAACATCTCATAGAGTCTCAACCACTTCAACATAGTTGGTGGCATTCACAAAAACAAAGTTTCTGGAGTATAACAATTACTTTCAAAGTAACAACTGCACAATTAGACAGGAAATAACACTTTCAAACCAGGAACAGAAAATTCTTCATATTTTGTTACTTAGTGTAATGTTTTTTGTTAGGAATGGCTTGAAAGGAAATCTGATTGGATTAATACCTTAACTGCTTGGTTGTGGATTTTAAATGGCAATGTTTTTTAATGTTGTGAGTCTCAATCTAGTGATAAAAGCAGAATACTATTACTACTATCAGTAGTAGTATTTACTTAATTACTACTTACTTACTACAAGTAGTAATACTATAGCGAAATCAAGTTATGATTTTGAAGACTGGTGGGAGACTTAGGCACAGACATAAACATTTAGATCAGCAGAGATTACTTGGTAAACCTGCTCCTGTGCGTATTGTTTATATTTCTTTGGAACTGATATGCAAATATTTTTCTGTAAAATTATTTCAAATGCACCAGTAATATTTAATACAATATGCCTGTAAATTTAAATCAAATCTGACATTTCATACAGGAATACAAATCCCAAATTTCTGATTCAGGTATATCAAATTAATCTTAGTTTGCCTATTTTTTACAGTGACGGAATTGTCTACCTCAGTATATAGAGAACAGAGTCAAATGTCTTTTACCTGTTCTCTGAAAAGAGTGACAATAGCTTTCAGTTTTTGCTGCTTTAGCAGTAGCCAAAGAGCCACCGAAACTGCTTGGTTTAGCTTCCCTTGAAATTTTCTCCGCACTTAAGCATTCACTTTATCACAAATCTCCTACTGCTTTTAAAAAGTGCTACAAATAATTTACTGAATTGTGTTAAGAGAACTGGGAACACTAAAAATTGACAGTAATAGAACACCTTTCAGAATAAATACACATTGGAACATGCATAGATGTTATCATAGAGTCACCTCAAATATTCAGTTTCTAAAATCTCTAGACCGTCTGGCTATTCTATATGGTTATGAGCAGAAGGACAGTACAATGTTAAAGAAAGTGTGAACTGCCCTTTGGAAGTTATCTTTTTAGAATACAAAAGGCACTGAAGTAGTTTCCAAGTGTTTACAAATGGTCTACCAAAAAAAGGGTAGAAAAGTGGTTACAATCCAACAAGCCTCACATCCATTTCTGTTGATACTTTCAAGCTCCTGGATGAATGTAGTGTGTTAATGCACTTCAAATGCTGATTGTGAGAAAAAAAAGGCATATCTGTAGATTGAAAGCTGTATTTACTAAGGACTGTGAGCAAGTTTGCGCTGATAAAAGAAAATATACAATTGACAGATCAATTAACTCTGTGATTTGACTTCAATTATGAATTCCTCATCAGCAGTCCAAATTGCAGGGGGAGGCACAGAGGAAGAAAATATATCTCTGTACAGTTTCTGAGACAATGATATTAGAATCCCCAAATAAACTTGTAAAAACTATTATTTCTGGTACATAACAGTTTAGTTTGTTCATATCACTAGAAAGTTTCAGGTAGTTCCTGCATGTTTAAATGCCTGACTGCGTCAACCTTTCACCATATAAACCACTTTCTAGGGAAAGAAGCACATTAGTCTTCTGTGCTAATGCTATTCTTACCCATCTGCTGTGAGGATTATAAGATTATTCATTTCATATCATTAGATAGTTAAGCATGACAATAGTAGTCCTAGAAAAAGTGAATAGAGAACACATAATTCATTTCACAGATTCCAGTGAGGAATGTAAGACTTTGTTGTTCTCTGAGCTTAAAAAATAAAGGGCCTACCATTCCTGTGAGCTAGAAATTTAAGGCTTTCAGATCAGCCAGTCTCTTAAAATAAATATCATGATCTTAATCAGTCTTCATATTAGGCTTATTCAAATCCCCAATACTGAAACTGAACTCCTTGAAGACTTGTATAAGAACAATTCCAATAGATACAGTGATGAATCCACATGCCATCCCTAAGAAATCAACCATTCCAACATTACTCCACTCTCTGAAGAGAATGGCGGAGGCCAGCAAGACCAGAGTGGTGAAGACGACGTAGTAGATGGCACCAAACACAGAGGAGTCGAAACACTCCAGGGCTTTGTTGATGTATCTGAACTGAATTATTATGCTACATCCTAACACGGCTAGCAGAACCAAGCAAAGGTACAGTGCTCTTTGACTCGATGGATTGTTGTGAAATATATCTTGAGCAGCCAAGCCAATGCCTTTTGTGCTAGGTACTGTGAAACTTCCCAGCAACGAGCAAATGCTGATGTAAACCATAATGTTAGTTGGTCCGTGAGCTGGTGCAATCCAGAAGATAAGAAGCAGAAGCATGAGGAGAACAATGCAGAGGTAACCCACAAACACTGAAAAACAAGAAAGAAATAACAGAGGGTAAATACCTATGTAAAACAATTCACGGACATTCTATATACAGAACCAATATACATGCTTTCACTAATTCACTTAGGGCCTGCTACAGACTCTATGCCCTCTTCTCAGTTCCTCTCTAGTTCATCCCATTGAAAACTATAGAGATTGCCATTATCCATGATCTAATGTAGCCATGAGACGTCTAGGAATATAGATATAATAGGGTTTGCTATTATCCACGATTTAATTAGTCAGGTGAAGATCATGGATATGGGGACTGTACTATGTATGCAAACCTTTACACTGTTTTTGTAAACATCATTCATTCTTAATGGGTTGTACTTGGAAGATCCTGCAATAATACTTCAGAACACCATGCATGGGGTGTGTATTTATGTTCCTCCTCCTCATCTTGAATGCTATGCTTGCTGTCTAACTTCCTGTCCACACTGTCATGGGATGCAACTCATGGTTCCCTTTTGCAATCCTCCAGTGGGATCCAACAGTCCAAGTACCATTAAAGCCTGCTCCAGCTGACAAAGAAACATGCAGGGCCAGTTTTTTGGAATGTGTAAGACTAGGCAGGTGCATCTATATAAACAAAAATGTAATGTTTGTTTGCGGGATTAACATAACTCAAAAACCACTGGAAGAATTTACACCAAATCTGAACACAATACATCTATAAGGCCAACGAGTGACCATCATTCATAAAAACACTGAAAAACACAGCGGAAGAGACTTTAAAAGCCAAAACAAAAAACAAAACAAAAAACATTACAACGCATGTGCAAAACCATATATATATATATATATATATATATATATATATATATATAAAAATACACACACACACATATATACACAAACATACATACACGCAAACACACATATACACAAATATATACACCAATATATACACACACAAAATACATACACACAGACTGGGCCACAGCAACATGTGGCAGGGGACGGCTAGTATTTAAGTGGGCCAAACCAGGGTAGGACACAATGCAGTAGAGATGGGAAGTAGCCCTTCTGTGGGTTCAGCCACGAAGGAACAGAAGGAACAGAAGCAAGAAGGAATTCATTTTTTTTCTTCCACACTATCGCTTGGCAGTAAGCACAAAGTCAGATCAGACAAACATTTATTCTTTCTTACTTGTCTCTTTGTTGTTGGACCAACATTGCCTTCCCTGGTTTCCTTATAGAAACTGACCCAGCAATATCAGGACTCAATTCACTGAGCAATGTTATTATTAAATGTTTTTTTTAAGTTACCTGGGTTTGTGAGTTTCTCTTCCAGTTCAGCCTGAGTGGTGACACTTTCAGACTTCGGAGAATGGATGATGAGGACCACAGAACCTGCGCAGCTCAGCAAACAGCCCAATTTGCCAAGAATGTTGAGTTTTTCTTTCAGTAAGTAGGAAGCTAAAATAGACCTTCCAAAAGAAAAGGGCCACACGGAAAGTTTTAATTTCAGTGCTTCTAATTTAATTCTAAGACATGACTCATTGCCACCCTTTTCTTTTTCTCTATAAGTAATTTTATTTTTTAAACTAGTTTTGAACCAGTTCACTTGGTTCCTAATTTTGATTTAAAGGATATGCTTCACACTTTGGGCCCTTCCAGACAGGCATTTAATATGAGATCGGTCTCAGTTTTATCAGAGACGCCCAAATGATGTCTCTGATAAAAGCAATTTTTTATGGAGTAAACCGGAGGTTCCCAGTTTACTCCACATTCATTAAATACCTCATCAGATCCTCATCAGCCCCCACACTATCCACCTTCTGTAGGGATTTGAAAATCCGGATGTTACAGCAAGCATTCGAGAATTATTAGTCCCTAGTTGTATATGCCTAGCCCCTTGGTCGCCAGATAGTACTCTGTTTTGCACTTCATCCACTTTCCCAGCCCTATGTTTCACTGTTTGCACGATCCCCTGCCCAGTCCTTTTATAGTTTGGTCTTGCACACTTTAGAAATCTAGGTCATTGTGTATGTTGAACTTGGTCTGATGGAGCTCCAAGGCAATTAATTATATTCTATTATGTTTAATGTGTTTTATCTGGATTGTTGTATTTTCTGATGCTCCTATTTTAATATGTTTTGTTTTACAGATTGTTTAGTTTTATGTTTTGTGGACATTTTGTCCCATATGTAAGCTGTCCCAAGTCTCTTCGGGGGGATGGTGGCGGAGTTTAAGTTATTAGTATTAATGAAAGATTCAGGTCTGATGAGGTACTGGGCCTGTATGTATTGACTTCTGGTATTGCATACTGGGATCAATCTCCACAGCAATCTCCACTTTAGGGCATCTGGAGCGCAAAGGTGTGAGAGGGTGCCCCCCCTCCTCTCCACCCCCCCCCCCCATTTAGGCCCCAAAACTAACTGGAGAGGCTTGCCGGCAGTGCGTACCTCTCCCTACRGTCCTCCTGGCACGAGAAAATGGTGGATTTCCCTGCTCCCCACCTCCCCTCCTGATGCGTCATTTTCTTGCATCAGGAGAACTGTAGGGAGAGGCCTGCGCTGCTGGCAAGCCTCTCCGGTAAGTTTTGGGGCACAAATGGGGGGATTCGGGGTGGCTTCATGCCATCCCGATTTGATTTAGGGTGGCATGTAGCAAGTCCTGGATTTGGGTTGGGAGTAGGGACTACAACCCATGCAGAAGTGGGTTATTTTAACCCGTTTCCATGTGGGTTTTATCTATGTCTGGAAGTGCCCTTCAGTTTCACTGGTGTCAAATTCAAAATGAGAATGGGGGATATGAAATATATCAAAGTGTGATATGACAACTATTTTTTTACAAGCAATGGTAGACGCTGAAGGGATTCTATCCTGTTGCTTTTGAAAGTGAGTGAGGTGATAATTGCATTCAGTTTTAAAAAATGGTATTAATGAAACAACACAGATTACACAGGTCTGTGATGAAAGAACATTTTAAAGTATTATAGCTGGTTTTAGAGTAATTTCGGATGTTGAATTTGAAAAAGATAATAAGAATGTCATACCACACACAGTTCTTTCACAGATTTTATATAGTAGGTCCTCATTATCCACTGGGGTTTGGTTCCAGGATCACCAACAATCCAGGCACCAAAGTCCATGGATACTCATTATATACAATGGCATAGTAAAATGGTGTCTCTTTTATAAAATCACAAATAGCTCAAACAAGTGGCAGAGAGAGCCTGAGGATCTGTGAAATGGCAAAAGGCCACAGTAAGGTTTCCCTTCATATTTAGTGTAGTGCTTGGCCCACAACAAAATTTTCTTTTGAGAATTTTTTTTAAAAAGCCATGGTTGCCTGAATCCATGGATGAAGAGGTCATAGATATGGATAAAATTGATATGTTATCAATTCAGTAGTTACCCACTTTTGCTTATGTATAATTTTTAATGATTAGCCACTTTAATCTCAATCCTGAGAAAAAAGCAGGGCACAAATAAATATAAATAGAAAAGGAGGAGAAAGAGGAAGGAGGGGAAGACAAGAAGGAGGGTGGATGATGAAGAGAAGTGCAGATGCGGATATTCAAGTGCAGTTTCTTGTAGCGTTAATCAATGGATTTGTGTCTTATATCAGCAAAATAAAGTGTTTTGTTAGTCTATTAGAAAACTTACTCTTCACACTGGCTTTCTGACATATTATATAAGGAATTAAATGAGATTTCAGCCATGGGTACAATTCCTAGATAGATAGATAGATAGCTTTCTTTCTAATAATAATAATAATAATAATAATAATAATAATAATAATAATAATAATAATAATAATAATAGATTCTCAACTATTTTTTAAAGCCTCTGGCAGCATGATGGTACTTCTCATCCCTTGCTTTACCCTCTCTCTGTAAAATAAAATATAGTACAGTATGAAGCCAAAGACTAAAAGGAAAAGATATGAACAATATACCATGTGGAAGAAATAGGCCAAAGAAGAGAAACAGTAGAAGAGGTTGACACATAGAAACAAAACAAAAACATACAGAGCATATGTAAACGACAGGGATATTTGATGTAATAAGAATAAATGACACAAGGAGGGCTTCCTTAACATCTTTTTCCAATGGCATGGTTTAACTTTAACTTTCCTTGCTGCCCTTAAACTATTTACTTCAGAGGCATTTGTCTCTGTATTAATTTAAGAAGCTAATGAAACAAGTCCTTACCCAAAAGGAACTCCAAGAGCTCCAAGAGGCGTCACCAGGACAGTCGGGACTGCAGTATAGGCTAAGAAATTTCCAATCTGACCAAGTGCCACTGCGGGGGAAAGTGCAGACATAAACAGACATTAACAGAAAAGAAGTGCTTATTTCTGAAGAATGAATAAACATGATTATAGTTGAATGTACTGCGGAAATATGAACAACAAACAGCCTCTTTACTATATGTGGTGGGCTTGTGAAAATGCTAAAAAGTATTTTGTCAAAAAAATACTTTGATACAGAGAATTTTAAAGATGAATATAACAACAGCTGCAAGATCAGAGGATTACTCTTTTATTGCTTATTACTGAAGAATGGTTATTAAAATTGAATGATTCAACAGGAATAGATAAATGTGTCTATTCTGATTAAAGAAAAAACATGAATAATGCTTTTGCAAGACTGGAACCCCCTGATTGACTTTTTGAGGAAAAAAATGTAGTGATTGGAGGACAGTTGGTTTGGAAAATGAGTATGAGTTAAATAAGAAGCTGAATTGTAATTTCCAAGTGAAACAGATAAGTGGTTGTAGGGTTTGTTTGGTGAGTGGGCATATTAACAAAAGACCCTCCCCATAAATGCACAGCAGAGTAATTTATCAGCAGCAGTGTGACCCAGCACCAGCAGCCCAAAGTGATTAAAAAAAACAAAAACACACAGACCGATGTTATATCTTCCATAGGAGGCTTTTCTTTGTAGTAAAATAGTATAGTTGCACTATTTACAATAACAAAGTTTCCACAACACAATTAAGTCCTTTATACTTCCTTCTTTGTTTCCATGTTGGGCTTCTTTCTTATGCAGATAAACAGCTTCACTCTCACAAAACCTCCTCTCATACCAAAATTACACAGGGCTCCACATAGTAGCTTTACACATGCGGCCTTTAACCTGGGGCATCTTCACACTGGGTTTACCTCACACTCGTCAGGATGACACTAGCTTGGTCCACTGACTCTAACAGGCTTCGGCCTACTCACTCTCCTCAGGAAGACATTAGCTTTGGCCCACTAACTAACAGGCTTCGGCCTACTCACTCTCCTCAGGATGACTAGCTTTGGCCCACTAACTCTAACAGGCTTTGGCCTACTCCCTCTCCTCAGGACGACACTAGCTTTGGCCCACTGACTCTAACAGGCTTCGGCCTACTCCCTCTCCTCAGGACGACACTAGCTTTGGCCCACTGATTCTAACAGGCTTTGGCCTACTCACTCTCCTCAGGACGACACTAGCTTTGGCCCACTAATTCTAACAGGCTTCAGCCTACTCACTCTCCTCAGGATGACACTAGCTTTGGCCCATTGACTCTAACAGGCTTCGGCCTACTCACTCTCCTCAGGAAGACACTAGCTTTGGCCCACTGACTCTAACAGGCTTCGGCCTACTCACTCTCCTCAGGATGACACTAGCTTTGGCCCACTAATTCTAACAGGCTTCGGCCTACTCACTCTCCTCAGGAAGACACTAGCTTTGGCCCACTAATTCTAACAGGCTTCGGCCTACTCACTCTCCTCAGGATGACTAGCTTTGGCCCACTGACTCTAACAGGCTTCGGCCTACTCCCTCTCTTCAGGACGACACTAGCTTTGGCCCACTGACTCTAACAGGCTTCGGCCTACTCACTCTCCTCAGGACTACACTAGCTTTGGTCCACTAACTCTAACAGGCTTTGATCTACTAACTCTTTCAGTGCTTTACGCACACTTTTATAACCAAAAATACCCAGTTAATTTTTAATATTTCTGACAAGGTTTACAATATAACTGCAGAAAAGGGAGTTAGTAGTAATCTTTTTCTCTCTCTTATTCCTTGTTTTCTTTATTTAGATAACTTTAGTTTGCTATTAGGTGACATGATAAATGTTTGTGTATTGTCTTTGTAGTTTTCTTTTTCGGTATGTTTTATTCTATTTTTATTCTATGTAAATTTTAATAAATAAAGATGGTTTTTAAAGAAAAGGAATCTCTTTCCTGCCACATTTATAGCCAGCCTTATTTTGCATCTTTTTCTCTTTCTTTCATTCCGATTCCTCCTCCCAGTCCTAGAAGAAACTTTCAAAACTCAGTCTCTGGTGAACATGAGACAACAACATCTCACATGTCACAAATATTTCCATAGCGCTATTAAATCCTGAGTAATCAACAACCCGATTAAGGACTAACAAGACAGGAACTGAATGCAGGTATAACCTTGCAACAAGGCATGGCGTGGTGGCAGCCTCAGGCAGTGGATTTTCAGCATCATTAGAGATTGTGGCTTTTGTTTGTATCTTACCCTGCCCTACCTCTGCAAATCTAATTAAAAGTGCTGAAAATGGACTATGCCTGATGAGACAATAGGAAAATTGGGTACATTCTTTTTTGTGGGTTCTTGTGTAGAGTCACATACAGACCAATTAGGACCATCAACCTTTAGAACCCTCTATTTAGGAAAAAAAAAACATGTTTAAAAATACAAGTTTACTTAATCCCTCCTAGGCAAGATGCAGTTAAACCCAGGGTCCTATACATTTTGAATGCAACATCAACATAAAAGGTTCTCCTGGATACAACTGATTGTTTTACTAAATTTTCTAGACTAATACATTAGCATAAGCGAGTAAGTCAAAACTGAGAGAGAATATGCTGTGTTTGTTTGCTTGAAGAATGGTTGGCTGTTCCACAGATCACAAAATGCAAAATCCACCCACTTGCATCACTGTTTTTCTGATAGAGTAGCATCTCAGCAAGGTTTTGAGTGAAGGTGGCAAACAATTAGAAGTGAATGTTTCCTAAGAGGACATTTATGATTTAGACAAAACATACTCAACTGACTAAAGTTCTTCTTCACTTAGTTTATGACAGTCCATTCACAACCAAACACAGAAGTTCAAAAGTAGGAACAACAGGACCACGAGAAGTTGGTTCATATTAAGGGCTCGTCTGCAAGGGCCACATATGGCAATGCAGTGGTGGTCTTGGCTGACTGTTTTCCTTACATACAACTGACCTATTTTAGTTCTCAATGAATTTCTGAATAACAAAACCAAAGGCGCCAGTGAGCGACATCAACTCTAGTGGACTTCTCTGGGCCCATAATCCCAAACATTTGCTTCATAATAATACTCATCAGGCTTACTTTTCCCCCTCTCCATGGGATGCCCATTTTCCACCCTACTTTTTTTATGAACAAATTAAAAGGCTTCTTGATTGTCCTCTGAGGTCAAATTATATTTGGATCTTTTAGCATGTGAAAACTGCAATAGCAAATCCCGTTCCTAAAAATAGCAGTCACAAATCCAAACCCTCTAATCAAAAATTTGGTGTTGAGTCTGAAAAGTATTTCAGCATGGGGAAAGCACTGAATGAGAATAATTTGTTCACCCAACCTTATCATTAGCAGCAACTAAATACTATCTTTTACAAATATATATTTACGTTGCTTATGTGATGTATTTAGGTTTTAAATGGTTATTATTAGATCACATACCAATATTTTAGGGCTCACTCATGCACATTTTGACGTTCTCCAGCCCTTTCTTCACAGTCTTTCATGCAAAGACTAGGAGCCCTCGGTGGCGCAATGGGTTAAACCCTTGTGCCGGCAGGACTGCTGGCCAATTGGTCAGAGGTTTGAATCCGGGAAGAGTGGGTTGAGCTCCCTCTGTCAGCTCCAGCTCCCCATGCGGGGACATGAGAGAAGCCTCCCACAAGGATGGTAAAACATCAAACATTGGGAATCCCCTGGGCAACGTCCTTGCAGACAGCCAATTCCCTCACATCAGAAGTAACTTGCAGCTTTTCAAGTCGCTCCTGACATGGAAAAAAATGCAAAGACTGAAAGAGGTTGTGTGAACAATCCCTCAAAGCCAAGTGAGTGCCACAACTGTGTCAGAGCCTATTAGTAAAACATGTCCTCTGCACATAAGTGGTCTACCCCACTCTGGATTAGGATTGCCATATGTGGCCCATGCAGACGGGCCCTTGATATGAACCAACTTCCCGTGAGCCTGTTGTTCCTACTTTTGAACTTTTCTGACCAGTACTGTGTTTGATTGTAAATGGACTGCTATAAACTAAGTGAAGAAGAACTTTAGTCAGCTGAGTATGTTGTGTCCAAATCATAAGTGTCCTCTTAGGAGACATTCACTTCTAATTGTCTGGAAAAGTATATTTTATCAAATCCCGGCAAATGCAACTGCCAAACAAGTAATGGTAAACTAGAATATAAGAACTGCCAACACATTTTTCAGGCCTGACCTGGATCACTTTCAGCTTCCACAGGCGACTTTTTGAGACCTACAATAATTTACTTGATACAGTACTGCAGTATCATGTCTTGCAAATGTGCTTCATCACAAAATAATAATAATTTAAAAAATCAAAGTGGCCATTTATAACACTTGTTATCTAATATCTTCAAACCTGGAACAACCTGTACAAGTTAGTAACAGAATAGGAGGACAAAGGATAGCTATCTAACTAAAAAGAAAAAGGAGGAAGAGATAATTGGGTCACTGCTTTGCGAGACAAAATACAGCATTCAATGACACTCTGAACCTGGGCACACATGTGTGCATCCATTTTTCGCCCATTTTTCAACCAAATCTGCAAAAGATTTGGTTGAAGTATTGCAACACCAGCAAGCTACAAGATATACTTCCAGGTATAAACAATGCATCAGTGAAACCTCCAGATAGACCAGACTGAGAAAGTATAGGAGCTTTTCCAAACCTGGAGCCCGCTAGATGTATTGGATTGTCCGCCAATGATTGCTGGGGTTTTTAGCCCATTACACACTGATGCATCTGGGTTGAGGATTGATAACGTAAAGGATGTAGATGCATATCTCTTTCCCTTCTCAATATTATTAGGATTTCCTGCTTAGTTATTTTAAGGTATACTCACTTGCAATAGTGCCTGACCACCAGACTATGTCAGTTAAGTATGAAGTTCCTAGAAAAATCAAGAAACAGAAAAGAAAATATTAACAATATCTGGATAAAAACGATGTCTGTTTAGATACACATACCTTTCACAAATCACAAAATGATGCTGCTCCTGTCATAGATTCCAGGTTGTGTGAAATCTAACGGTTGTCATCTCTACAATACTATCATAGGGAGTGTTAAGCCTGATTAACTTGCAGCTGCTACTGTTTAAGATGTGAAGTATGATTCCAAGTCATTTGGCTCTCCATCCTTAACAATGATCAAAATGATACTGCGCAAGTGGTTAGTTTTATCCCCCTAGACTCTAGAGCAATGTTTCTCAACCTTCCTAATGCCACGACCCCTTAATACAGTTGCCTATGTTGTGGTGACCCCCAACTATAACATTATTTTTGTTGCTACTTCATAACTGTAATTTTGCTACTGTTATGAATCGTGATGTAAATATCTGATATGCTGGATGTGTTTTCAATCACTGGACCAAATTTGGCACAAATATCCGATATGCCCACATTTGAATACTGGTGGGGTTGGGAGGGGGATTGAGTTTGTCATTTGGGAGTTGTAGTTGCTGTCATTTATAAATAACCTACAATCAAAGAGCATTCTGAACTCCACCAATGATGGAATTGAACCAAACTTTGGCACACAGAACTTCCACGACCAACAGAAAATACTGGAAGGGTTTGGTGGGCACTGACCTTGAGTTCTGGAGTTGTAGTTCACCTACATCCAGAGAGCACAGTGGACTCAAACCATGATGGATCTGGACTAAACAAATGTGACCACTGGTGGGGTTTGGGGAAAATAGACTTGACATTTGTGAGTTGCAGCTGCTGGGATTTATAGTGGGATTTATAGTTATTCAAAGAGCATTCTGAACCCCATCAATGAGAGAATTGGGCCAAACTTCCTACACAGAACCCCCATGACCAACAGAAAATACTGTATTTCCTGATGGTCTTTGGTGACTCCCTGACACCCCCTCATGACCCCCCTGGGGTCCTGAGCCCCAGGTTGAGAAATGCTGCTCTAGAGAAAAAATCCTGTATCTAATACCATTCCCAATCTGACAAGCATATGAATATTTGTCCTAAATTGTTTACATATGATTTAACACAAGTTATTTCAGAACACATTTTGCTAGACATACCAATACACTCCTGAGAATACCCTTTGGCATCAACATTGGACATTATTACCCATTATTTTTAAAAGTCAGTAGGACAAAAGTGTATTTTTGCTCTGTAAACAACACTTGTTGTCTCAGATGAAAAATATTAACCATTCTTCCAGTTTTTCAAAGTTTTAAATAGATGTTGTAATATATGATGTTCTGCAAATAGTATTAATAGTGAAGATGTAACTTTTTGAACAGCAGTTGACCTGCTGCATTTGTCAGAATTTGAAAAACATGGAAAGCTATCTTAGCGTGATTATATTGGTATTTCTCAAAACAACTTCCAAACAAAAAGCTGAACATAACACATTATGCACATATATCAGTTGTACTTCTTCTAAAAAGACAGGAGCTACCTACCACTGGTTTTCTAGAAAACCAAATCTGTCATTTGATTCTCATTCAGAGTTCACTTACAAAACATCCAACCCAAGGCTGAACACAATCAGACGATTGTGGAAAATGCAAAGTAGACAAGCTGGAGAGTTAGTTGATACTGTCAGCTGGTAGCGATGCAGCTTCACATAATGTGTTGTGTTTTAGGACAGTCTCTACTCTCATAGCACATGAGATAGGAATCATGTAGCCTTCCAGCGGCAGTTAGATGGCAACTCACAACACACTGCACTCCTGAAAGTAAATTCCCTTCTACATCTGAATGTGCATCCCAATGCACATCCCAATTAATGTATGTAGACAGGACAATCTCTGCATTTAGATACACACCCAATTTATGTTTGTGCTAGCTCAAAACATATAAAATCATGGGAAGTAATAATGTCCCTCTATTCTGCTCTGATCAGACCTCATCTGGAATATTGTGTCCAATTCTGGACACCACAATTTAGAAGAGATATTGACAAGCTGAAAGGTGTCCAGAGGAGAGCAATTAAAAGGATCAAAGATCTAGAGACCATGCCCTATGAGGAGAGTCTTAAAGAGCTGGGTATGTTTATACTGCAGAATAATAATAGTAATACTAAACTTTATTTATAACCTGCTTTACCTCCCTGGGGCGGCTCAGGGCGAGTTAGCATGGCAAAGATTCAATGCCATAATAAAAACAAACAGGCAGAGAAACCAAATCAAAACAATAAGTAAAATAACATCAATATAAACTTATAACTAGCCATAAAATAAACATTTAAATAAACATAATAAATCTCATAAAACACATTTGCAATTTAATAAAACCTAAATAACATAAAATGCATAAAAGGTACAGAATGGTTTTACAGCAGTCAACAGAGCCAGGGCCAGGGTGGGTTTCCAGTATTCATGCGAAGTTATATATTAAGATGTTCTAATCCTCCTCCTCTCCATAGGCTACGATGCATAGATGGGTTTTCAGAAGTTTTTTAAAGAAGAGGAGAGAGGGGAGAGGGGGCCATTTTTATTTCTTCGGTAAGGGAGTTCCAGAGGTGAGAAGCTATTATGGAGAAGGCTCCTCTCTTGTTCCCACCAACTGTGCTTGAGACGGGAGTGGGAGCAACAACAGAGCCTCCTCTGCAGACCGCAGCACCCATGTTGGTTTATATATGGAAATGCGGTTTTCAAATAATCTTGAAGAGAAGGTTGAGAGGAGATATGATAGCTCAGTATAAATATGTGAAAGGATGTCATAAGGAAGAGGGAGCAGGCTTGTTTTCTGCTACCTTGGAGACTAGAACTGTGTTTTATCCTGTATAATTTCTGCAATGTAAATCGCCTGGAGCATGGAGGAGGGCGATTAATAAGTAATTAAAGATTAAGATGATGATGATGATGATGATGATGATGATGATGATGAAGAAGAAGAAGAACTCTGAGTTCAAATGGGTTCAAATTACAGGAATGGAAATTCCACCTGAACATTAGGAAGAACTTTCTGATAGCTGGAGCTGAACTCTCTGCCTCTGATGGTGGTGGAAGCTCCTTCCATTGAGACTTTTAAACAGAGATTGGATGGTCATCTGTCGGGGGTGCTTTGATTGTGCTTTTCCTGCGTGGCAGGGGGTTGGACTGGATGGCCCATGTGGTCTCTTCTAACTCTGTTATTCTACGATTCTATGAAAAGGCTGATTTAGTATGGGTCCCACTAAGATATTTATAGCTCCACTGTTTCTGGTTATTGTGTGTGTCAAGTTCACCTTTTGACTTATAGCAACCCCATGAATTGTCAGGCAAGGTTTTGCCATTTTCTTTCCCTGAAATATAGCCTATAGGACCTGGTATTAGTTGATTGTCTTCAACCCAAGTACTAACTAGGGCTGACGCTGCTTAGCATCCAAGGTCAGACCACATCTGGTACCTTTTTTTGGACTACCAAATAAGGAGGTAACATATCTGTTGATGAAAACGGTTACCTAAGGGTGCATCTACACCAGGCATGGGCAAATTTCAGCCCTCCAGGTGTTTTGGACTTCAACTCCCACAATTCCTAACAGCCTACCGGGAATGGTGGGAGTTGAAGTCAAAACACCTGGAGGTCTGAAGTTTATCCATGCCTGATCTACTTTATAGAATTGATGCACCTTGACTCAACTTTAACTGCCATGGCCCCATGCTATGGAATCCTGGGTTTTGTAGTTTAGTGAGGCACAAATACTCTTTTGTAGTGAAGGTTATAGGGCAATTTCTATTATTCCCATTGCATGGTGCCATGGCAGTTAAAGCGGTGTTAAACTGCTTTAATTCTACCTTGTAGACACACTTTAAATCAGTGAAGGAGCACCCATCAAATTTAATGCTTTTGAAATTCTCCCTGAACACTCCAGTTTGAATAATGAGTTTGCTGTTTGCGGTCTAATCACTTGACAAAGGGATTCTTGGCACCTTTCATCCAGTGATAAGGATCTTAGCTGCACAAACATAAGAACATAGCAATGCTTTAAAAAGTGGACATATTACACAAGATACTTAAAGGGTGTGAATGTGCCTAATGCAAACTGAGAGCTGTCAATATTAGTTAATTATTCTGTTTTTCTAAGTGCCACCTCATGCTTTGCCCATCAGTTATTTTTCTCAAATAACTTAATTTCACGGATTAATTTCACAGTACTATACATGACTAGCCACGGCCAGCTAGGGCATCAGGAAAATTTCCTATGTTGTCTTAGGGCAGATCTTGTTTAGGCAACGGAACAGAGTGGTTTTGTAACAGGACAGAGAATAGATTGAGGGCAACAATTCCCCTCCAGGCCGGATTTCTGGCACAGGACAGTTTATATCAGAAATGCCAGTATTATCCTTCAACCTGGAATTGATTTACGAGTATGGATGCTAGTCGGTTGAAGGGCCCCTACAAGAAATATAGTAGTTTCTGGACAAATCAGCCCCATGCATATTAAATGCAGAAAACTGTACTTTTGAAACTGTTTAGAGGATGTGTGTGCAAATCATGGCAAAATTCCAAATAACAGCATGTTCCGCTGTGATCATAGAGTGACTTTTGTTTTTCAATCCATGGAAAAAGTGGATTTTTAAAAAACCAAGTTTTTTCATGTCAGGAGCGACTTGAAAAACTGCAAGTTGCTTCTGGTGTGAGAGAATTGGCTGTCTGCAAGGAGGTTGCCCAGGGGATGCCCGGGCAACACGTTCTTGCAGATGGCCAATTCTTTCACATCAGAAACAATTTTTTAAAAAACTTGGTTGCCATCCTATGGGAGGCTTCTCTCATGTCTCTGCATGGGAAGCTGGAGCTGACAGATGGGAGCTCATCCTGCTCCTTGGATTTGAACTGCCAACCTTTTGGGCAGCAGTCCTTTGGACACAACGGTTTAACCCATTGTGCCACAATGGTTTAACCCAGGGGCTCCACAAAAAGTTGGGGTGAGTAGGAGAAA